AGCCACACCTGACGATGCTATGTGGAATAGCAATAAATGTTAACTGCTTTGCTTACTTCAGTTAAACTGATGAAGAAGTAACAGCCAGGAGAGGTTCAGGTTGGGCATTAGCAAATATTTCTGCTCAGAAGGAGTGGTGAAGCAGTGGCACAGGCTGCCCAGAGAGGTGGTGCAGTCACCATCCCTGGTGTTCCTGAACCGTGTGGATGTGGCACTGAGGGACGTGGTCAGTGGGCATGGTGGGGGTGGGCTGATGGTTGGATTGGATGATCTGAGAGGTCTTTTCAACCTTAATGATTCCATGATTCTATGTTGTGGACTGGTGCGGAAATTAGGGGCAAAGTAACAGTTCACTAAATTGTCAGAGCCTCCCTTTCCAAAGCCTAGCAAGAAGATTAACAACAGTGTTTGGAAAATGCACTGAAATGTATAGATGAAAATCATGTGCCTAATGTCATGTGTAATGCTAAATACTATTATTGTCTTCTGAAACTAAAAACACCTTCCAAACAATTTCAAACCCTTCTCCCACACAGCCAAATAAAGGAAATTAATCTTGGCTACAATTAACTTTCAGTCCTCATTTCTCCAGCTGTTCTCTCCACTACTTCATCTGACCTGTTCCTACACTTCACTGATCAAATGCAGTTGCAAACTTATCCATCATCTTTCAACATAATGAAGTGTAAACATTTTCTGCATCAATCTATCAAGTGAGCCATGATTTGGAGTTCAAAAGATTGCATCCAAGACCATTTTGAGCTTTAATCACAACCGTGCTGAATGACTGGCTACTTGCCTTTTGCAAATACATCTGTCCTTTACTGCTGGACACTCTCAGAAATTCTATAGTTTGAATAAATATTTGGAGTTAACCAGAATTAAATAAATAAATGAATAATCGTTTTTCCAACATGACCTTGTTTAATAGCTATCTTTAGTGTCTGGATTGCTATTTGAGGTGAGTACAAGGGAAAATGCGATGACAAAAATGATCTCAACGACCTGAAAGCAGATGCTAGAAGCAAAGATGCAAGACTAAAGATGATTATATCCAGGGTACTGCCCGTATCCTTCAATTTTGCCTCATATAGTCCATTGCCACGTAAAGACTTCTTCAGCACATCTTGCAGAAAGAACATTCATACACCATTTCATGTATATTGCTGAAGTAATCACGCAGTAATATAACACTAAAGATAAAAACCCACATCATTGGTTTTCATACTGTTGTCAGATAATATTGATAGTAACTGACTCCAGCATCTGCTCCTCAGGAAAGAACAACAATCCTTCTCCACTAGTCATGACATCCATAGTATGTTATATTAAATTCAGAATGACCAAGTTGTAAAACGTGTTATGAAAAGTAAGAAGCACTGAGCAATACAGGAAAACAAGAAGAGAAGAGAGCATAGTTTCAACAGCTCATTAGGGAGAAGAACAACAGTAGTCTAAGTATTCATCAGTCTCAGCCATCAGGAAGAGAATATCTAGGACTTGATACTTACCACAGTGAATTTCAATAATAGAAAATAAATGCAGAATGAACTTGCAAAAGAAGCAGCTAAACAGCATTCAGGTAAACAGAGATATTCATTTTGGTGGCGCTCAGCCAAAAACATGCTGGAAAAACTTCAAAGCTAAATGAAGCAATTTCTGATTCTCCAACAATTACCTCCAAGAATTTATGGGACATCTCAGAGAAGTGCAGAATAGCAAGTATGGCACTTTTTATTTTAAAGGTATGGAAGAGTCCTGAAAACCAGAGCTCAGGGAATGTAAATTTGTGGCTTAGAGTGAATTATTAATAAAACACCGCAGGAGAACCTAAAGGATAGCATAATGACAGAAAACCAGGGATGATGGGATTATCAAAAAGAATCAGATCAAACCAGTCTTTGACCAAATAATTGGCCCCGGGGATAACAACAAACTTGCTTTGCTTTGACTTTCATATGGCTTTTCACACTATTCTATGTGGCATTCCCCTAAACAAAAATGAAGATAGGTATGACAGTATTCAGCTTCAGATTTGTGATTCATACAGAGGTATTTTTCTTGTTTACCTTGTAGGTGTCCACACATAACCTAGCTCTCTCAGTTCCCTTTGTAGTGAGATCTAGGGCTTAATGAAGTTGTCCACATAAAGGTGCTAGTACCACCTGTAATGCCTCCTGGCTGACCTCCAGCAACAACTTCAAAGTGGAGTGGACCTCCTGTGTCAGACCTGCCAGCCCTGTAAGGCTGCCCTGAGGGCATCGCTGTGTGCCTACCTCAGGACAGCTGAGCAGAGCCATTAGCCCATGCAACCAAGAGAGCCTGAAGACAAATACACCTGATCACAGTGTGGTTACTTGTAGATGAGCAACATAGCTCTCCTGCCTCCACCTATTGTGACAGCATCTTAGACATCTAGCTTGTAAGAGGACACATACACTGAAGGGAAAACATTTGCAGAATTGGGCTTTTTTTTTTTCGTCAATCTGGGTTCTGTTTCAAATAATGCTCGGTGTGGATTTGTCTTAGATTTAGTCGTGTTTGGCAATTTGCAAGATATAATAAAAAATATTTTTCTGATATTCATAGATGACAGCAAGCTGGAAAAGGATGCAAGTATTTCAAAGGACGGGGATAGCATTTAAAATGATCTTGACAGGCTAGAGAAGTGACTCAAGGTCTGTAGGGAGAAATGCAAAATGCTTTCTTTAGTCATAAGATTTAAATACAGAAATACACAATAAAGAACTAACAGCAAATCACCAGTAAAGTGGAAAAGAATTTGGCAATTACTGTGATTCAGAAATGAAAAAATGTGTGTGTGATGGTGCTGCAGAAAAGGCAACTCCCATGCTTGGATTTTCTGGCAGGAATGTCATGTGCAAGGCATCAGGAGTATTTAACATGCTCTGATCCATAATGATAAGGCCTCTGCTAGAGTGTTACTCTACCCAGGGCTGATAGCCACACTTTAGAGACAGATATGACAAGCTGCAAAGAGAACTGAAGAAAAAATGAAGTATGATAGGAGAATTACAAAATGTTACTTGCACTTAAATTCTAGGGTTTTGCTGTACTTACTCGGGAAAGAATGGAGGGTAGGGGTGAGGAAAGGACGGGAACCAGTCACCAGTTCATCAAGGGTTATAACAGAAATGAGAGATCAAACTCCTCTCTGTCTGCTATGAGAGGATGCAAAATAATTGGCCTGATTTGCATCAGTGGAGATGCGTTTATATCCTAGAAAATTCCGAGTCTCTTTTACCTGAGCTTTTTAGGAACGGGATCAACAAAAGGGAAAGATGGAAGCTGTCTGAGACTCAGTAGGTCAGGCTGGTGGTTGGAGTTGATGATCTTGAAGGCCTTTTCCAGCTTCTCTGGAGAGCTGCTAGAAACAGCAAAAATATCTAACTATCTCAGAAATCACTGCTTAACCCATCAGCCCCTAACAGGGGGAGGCAGGAAAAAATCCTAACTGATGGTGGTTGAGCAGACCTTGATGGAGGCAGCTTAGCGCTACAAGGATCAAGCCTGATGTTTTCAAAAACTGCTCCTTGTTTTGCACCTTCCACAAAGGTCAAATAACATGAATAATAACAGCTGAAGCTCTGAAGCTAACCCTAGCATCTGAGCCTCAGCAAGACAGACAGGGGGGAGCCCTGGTGGGGCGACCTTCCTCTGCAGAAGGCATTCATTTCCCTGGTCCCATCTCAACCACACTGCGGCAGTGAACTGAGCCTTGGGGGCCTGTGTTTCTGCGATTGTTGATCACATGCAACATGTAAACAGTCTGTTCATTTTATCTTTTCTTTTGCTGTGAAGATAGAGTGATGGGAGTTTTATTATAGCACAGTAAGGCAGTTAATGAGCTGTCAGGATCTCAGTAATAAACTTCTCTTTCAGAGAGGTATGTAATAGCTCACTGCAAGATGAAGCACACTTTTAGTCATTGCTCAGAAACATGTTTTACCAATTTTGAGAAATAAACATAATTTTATTCAAGAGCCTTATGTCTTAGTAAAAACAGACTATGGAACTTTCTTAGAGCAACTGTTTCTGCAAAATATGAATATATTTACTCCTCTGTACTCATAGTGAAAGCATGTGTGTCATAGAGCTGTAAAACTGCAGAGGGAATTGGGAGATTCTAGCTCATTAGTGTCATTCTCTTTTTGTCTAACACCATTTCTTGTGTGTTCCTCACAGGAGATGACTAATCCTGGCCACCAGTAAGTGACAGTGCACGGAGCTCCAGCCAGAACATGCTGGTGCTTTGCAGCAGAGCCAGGGTGCTTTCTCTGCAGCACAGTTGCTTGGTTTAACGCTTTCTGAATTATAATAAAAAAAAAAAAAGACCATTTTGTTTTGCCATCCCCAGTCCTTTCCTTTCCAACATACAAAGCCCACAACTGTACTCCAAGAGGCAAAGAGAGGAGGTCAAGTTATGCCATGAGTAATTTGTCTGATAAAGCACATTTCCTTCTACAAATGGTCTGCGCAGAGTTTACAGCTCATGGCTTAAACAACTCTTTAAAGATTTATAGTGTGGATAAATCTGAGCCGATTTCCACCCTGAGATTTCTGCAGCCTTTCCAATTTTCCTGCCTTATGGCTGGTCAGTGAGATCATGTGGTCTTATTTCTCACCCATGAGCTGATCCAGGCTTTATGGCTGGGAAAATTTGCTCTGTTGGTTGCTTATTACGCTCAGATGCTTTTTTAGTATTCCAGAAATGTGTTTGCAAAGAATAAAAGCACGATTTCAGGAAAGCTGAAAGTGCCTTTTTTGAAAATCCACAGAGGTTTTGACGGGGCTTTTAGGTTCTGTCTGCATTCCTGAAAAACACAGAAAGTTTCCTACGTTTGTGTTCATGAATAAGCAAACACAAAAGGGCAGCAAATGTCAACAAACCCGTGTTATATTCAGTGAAGTATGAAGGGCACATCTTCCCTCACTCCTCCCAGTTCCCACGCCCACAGGCTGCTGGCCGCATCGCTAACCTTGCCACCTTCCGCCTCCATCGCCTGCGGTCCTTCATGTTGCTGTCTCCATCCTCCTCACTGTGAATGAAGCGGTATTTCTGCTCATTTTCCTCCGCTTCTCCCTCTCCAGGACAGCGATTGAGGAAATGAGGGCTCAGGGGTGTAGCTGAGATGTTTTGCTTCTGACCTCTGGTGGTCAAAGTGAGCTCTGCAGGGCCCTGCCAGAAACAAGGCTCATGCAAAAGTGGGCATTTCCTATTTCCAACTGAGAACTGACCATTTCCCGTTACGTTATTCCGTTCACTGAATGAACACAGTCATGCCAACGGTGTGGTGGTCGGGCACACGTCAGGGACATGGGTGGCTGTGCTTTATCCCCTTCTGAGGTGCTCGCTCTGCTGTGCGTGTGCCCGTTCCATACACTACCATGATGTGTTGTTTTATCAAATCTCTCACTCTGAATTAATATATATTCATGATTGTACACTTCTGTGGCACTTTGTTCAAAAATTCAGTTTAATTTCCATTTCCCAAGCCCTTTGCACCAGGTAAGCCATGACACTCTTTGTGGTCATGCCCATGACCAGATGACACATGTCATCTGTAGCCATGGCAGAATCTGGCCATACTTTGGTTAACTAATCTGCAGAACCGCAGCAAAGTGTGTACACACAAAATCTGCAGTCATTAAGAATGTATAAATATTAACTGCACATTACAGAGGAGGAAGTTGTGGAGAATGGAAATCAAGTAATGTGCACACATTTGCATAACAAAGCCAGAGCTGGGTATAGGAAGGTTTTCTGCAATCCTGTCTTCAGCCAGCTATCTGGGAAAAGCAGCAACCAAGGATCTTCACTGCCTGGCACCAGCCATGGCTGCTGCTCTGCTCCTGCCCAGGCTCTGAGGTTTGGCTTCCTAAGCTCTTAGCAGTGTGGCAAAATCCTTTCCCTATAAAGACTGATGTGGGAGCCCTGGAATTAATGTAATGGAAGGGAGGGGGTGAGCAGGAAGAGCATGCATTTCCCCTGCAGAGGCCTGCAAAGAAATCAGGTCACCTGTTTGGGCCTGGCAGCAGGGCTTCATCCTGCCAAAGCACCTCAGCCTGCTTTTAGCAGCCTCAGTTTGAAGCCTACTGACCTCCACGGGATCTTTCCTTGCCTTAAATCTCAGGGTTTTTAAGCTGGGTCAGTGAAGGTGGCCTTTTCAAGCTTTCTGGGTTTAAATTAATGAGGATGGATGGTTTAGAAGCAGCCTCTTCACAAGTTGTTTTACAAATCTTTATCCTTTATTATCTGTGCCCTGAGAAGGTAAACAACGCTTTTAGGGCAATGTGGTGTCAAGAAGCATCTCTGCACAGCCACAAACAGATCCATTTTCTTCTTTGAGAACTCACAGAATATGCAGCTTATTGCAATTAAATTGTGGTTGAGAAGAGCTTCATTGTGAATAAAAAGCCCTCCCAGAAGATGGATATGAAGTACCACATTTCTCACATCTGCTTGAAGGCAGTCCAAATCTGAAGTCACTGTTGCTATTATATGTGTATAAATATATATTTTTTTGCTTTTTGTACCATACGCGCCCCAGATCCCATCCCTTTATAGCAGGTGGTATGGACTTCCGTGACCACAAATGGAGATGCTGAGAGGGGTGAGCCATTTACCAGCCACTTCAGTTACATGCATGAAGTTGAGTAGGATGAATGCAGACTGAAGGATTTACAGTTGCTGCAGAGAAGTCCTGAGAGAGAAGGCATGAGCTGTGTTAAGTGTGGGGTGCTGGAGGGTCTGGGGACTCACCCAACCGTGCACTGCGATCTGGGTGGAAGCCAGGGATGGGCGTGCAGCTCGGTGCCTTGTCCCAGCTCTTGTCTCAGAAAGGTGTGAAGTGGGGATCTGCAGTCTGACAGCTCTCCTTGGGTCTGGCAGTGTGAAGTGGATATGGAGATAGGGCTCAGAGGAGTGGATATGCCCAGCCAAGTGCCTGGCTTTCCACTGACTCACACTTCCAAAGCCACATTGCTGCTGTGACTGCATAATGTCATCAGGCAGATTTGGCCTCATTTCTAGCTAACCAGTAGTAGTGGAAAAAGACAAGAAGCCTCAAGGCTGTTTCAGCCCCTCCAAACCATTTTCCAGGCAAATAGGAGCGCCGTGAAAAGAGTTCTCTCTTTATGGTGTGAAACACTTACCTTGTCCTGAAACGAAGACACTCAGATTTCTTCTTCAACTTCATTGTTTTTAAAAAATGGAGTTTAAAGAACAGAGGTCTGGTTGGAATCTGAAATATGAAATCAAAGTGTTTTAGTGCGGGCAGTTACTCCTAACTCTGCCTTTTCTCATTCCACCTGTAGATGGGCAATGCAGTGAGGTGAGAGTGCAGTAAATGCATTAGTATTACTGGGTTCAGATTTGGCACTCGGCAAGAGCTTTAGAGGTGAGAAAAGGAGAGATGGAGGGGGGAAAAAATGCCAATTTTTTGCGAGCAATATGGAAGCTATATAGAAATGTCAAAATCCCAAGACCATCATCAGAAGTTAGGTATTCACCAGACAGCAAAACAGGAGGGGAGCCAGTTCCAGCAAAGAGAAGCCAGTGTTGTGTGCCGATCTGAAGGCCACAAGGAGAGGCAGAGACAGGCAGCAAACTGAAAAAGCAAGCAGGCAAACCAGTCCAAACCTGCATAGGCCCTATGTTAGCAGTCCCTGAACACCATCTCAGCCTGGGAAGCACAGAGAAAGCTCAGAGGAGAAGGGAGTGAAAAGCCAAGGACAAACAGAAAGAGGGGGAGAGCAGTACATGTCTCCTGGTGGAAACCTGTTTTCCTTTGCTCTCTGTGCTTTTCCCATCTCACTGTACCAAGCTCGCGGCCAGTCGATTAGATCGCTGTCTCCTCCTTGCCATTTGTGTGTCACTTCTCTGCTTATCTCAGATCTTCCCCAGGGCTGGGAGCATATCTGCATGTATACAGCCTAGCCGCACTGCAGCGCAGAGGTTAAGAATAGAAGAGTGCTCACAGACAGAAAACAGAGCAAGTAGTGAATTATTTTTTTTTTTCTTTTGAGCAATGAAAAAAAAATGTTAGTGTCTGAACTTGTTACATTTATCTGTATAAGTGAATTGGAAAGTCTGCTGCCCTCGGTGCTGTCATTATTCCCATGTACCTATTTCTCTAACCTCACTTACCCTGTGTAGCTAAGTATGGTGCCCTTTTACTGGAAATAAGCCCTGTCCCTGTCAGCTTTGAGAAAGATCATTGTAATTTTTGCTGTAGGGGAAAGAAAGAGGGAAATCCGTGCCTGATGTGTTACCAGACAGTAAAACTTAAGGGTCATAGGAAGCCACAAAACTGTCAGAGATGATTAATTCAGTGGAGAAAGTAGAAGCCTGAAAGTTTTCCTGTTTCCTCTGTGCTGTCAACTTTCTTTTTGCTTGATGCAAGGGACAGCACGTGCTTGGGAGAGAAGTCTGACATGAGATGTCCCAGGGCATGGAGAGAACTGGGATGCTGGGCTGTTGTAGGGCAGTGTGCTGCCAATCAGGACCCATCAGAACATGTATGACGTGTGCCTGCCTGACATGTCCCATCCTGTGAAATGGCATGCTGGATGATGGTAGATGCAGCTTTTTGGCTGATCAGACAGGATCCTATTTACATATTATATCCTATTTACAGTAGAATACAAGCAGTAGCACAGCCATCTCACCTTTAAATTCATGATTTTGGCTCTCTTTGGAGCAATACCGAGATTAGTTGTGTGAGACTAAACTGTGCAACAGGGACAGAGACTTACAGCAAATATAAATGAAGCTGCAAGAAGGAAATCTTAATAATCCCACAGACAGTGGGATTTCTCAGCGGCATATTTGATAGAAAGAAAGGAACACACACATTTGGATCAAAATAATTTCTCAGTAGCTGATCCCCATTCTGGAGAAGGAACAGATTCCATTAGACTGAAAGCACCACACATCTGCCTCCTCTTGCTCTCACCCTGTGCTCCCTCCAGCACACAGCTGAAAAATCAAACATCTCAATTTCTCTATCAAGACTGTGCAGCCCTGCTCCTGAAAATACCCTTCTGGTCTCCCCTTTCCAGCACTTTATCCAAATAAAGCTACTGGCATCTTTTAATTCTGTTTCTCACTCTCATTCTGCTGCCATCCATTTTGAAACTCACTGTGCATGAAAAAGCTTTTTGTATTCTTATCCTCTCCCCTCTGAAGCTCGCACCTGTCATGGGCCTGACAGCTATTGCAGTAATATGATAGTAATAATACACCAGGTCTCAAAGATGTCCATGATGGGCAGATGTACATAAGAATGCAGGAGAGCTGTCAAGAGATGTAACCACAGGGCTGCGGGGCATTCTCCTTCCTCTCAATTCACCCATTTCTTCCTGGTTTCTGTATTGCCTCTTCATTCTTTCAGTGAAATCTTTGAACCAGGGACTTCATCTCTGTCACCTCTGTCATCAGAGGAGGGCTTAAAATGAAAATAATAACAGAGCAAAAAAAAACCAACAAACAAGAGTGTCAAGATTTGGTCTTCCTTGGTGGTAGCACAGAAGCTATTGAGTGAGAAACTAGGACAAGGATTCTCCATGGCTGTGGTTCTCTGGTAGCAAGGAGGGAGCAGGGAAATTGAGCATCTGGATCTTAGTTCCTCTCCCTCACTGGTCTGGACCATCCTCAGAAAATACCTTCACTGCCACCTTATCCAAACCCCGCAGGAAGCTCTTACTTTCATTACCCAGTAAATCAAATGCTGCATGTACAGCTTTCAGACTTTTAACATCTTTAAGACTGGAAGAGCAAGCGAAAATTTTGTGCTTTTTTCTTAGAATTTTCAGTGCAGTTACAAATGCATAATTGTCCCAGAGCACTAATCCAACAGAAGACAACTTTCTGCAAACAAGGTTCTCAATTAGTGAAAGCCAGTGATGAGCTGTGTATCATTAAAAAAAAAATAAAATCTCTCTAAGGGTTAGAAATACAACTCTCAAAAGTTTTAGGTCCTTAAGCTATGTCTGTACTTATCACAAAATGGAGAAGGGACTGGTTCCAGCTTGGAAGCAAAGTAGAATGGTTCATATTCAGGCAGCTGAATACCACGACCTCTCCTTCACCTTTTCAAAAATCCCCTGTGTT